ACACACACACACACACACACACACACACACACACACACACACACACATACATCTTTATTCATTTCTATGGGCAAAACCCTAATCCCAACAATGACAACCTTAACCCCTACCCAGCCAAGTAACCAGAAGAAAAAAAAAGACTTTTGGCATTTTTAGTTTTTTGATTACAGTCACAGATTTTTATAAAATTGACTTAAAAATTGTCTCCACAATGTCAAAGTAATAGGATTTGATCACAACGTAATGTATATATGACACACGCACACACAAATGTTTCACCATCCACAAACCCCTTCTAATGCTTTGTACATCTAGAATAACTCCGTCTGTGTCCATAGCATGCAAATTACTGCTGTTTTCTGCTTCCCTGCTTATGTGTTCGGCATTAAAATCCCGCCTCATCCTCCCTGAATGTTTATGTTCTTCTCATAAGCCTAACGATCTGGCACGCTCTACATGCTCCCAGGAGTCTCCGCAGGTAGCGTCCCCCATTTGGGGTTTCCCAGGGATACAGGACGCAAGAAGAAGGCGCTCAGTGTTCTACAGTGAGAACAGTAGCATTGAGGAAGTGACATGGTGACAGGCCGTGTTTCTCAGCTTTCAGACACGATGTTGCTATTGCTTTCCTGGCAGTTATTGGCTTTTAACCGATTACTTACTGCGTAGAAAAATGTCTGATAAATTATCTGGCCGTCTGATTTGGAAAATGTGCTCTGGACCAGATCCGCACAGTTGGTTCCTCAATTCAGTCATCATTCTGCTAAAGTCTGTTTCGCTGTAGACATAAAGACAACTGATACTTTTTGCAATAAAGTTATTCTCATAATTGGTGTTGCTGTGTCATTTATTGCAAATTGAAACAGATTTTATTTTTAATCCATGATTAAACTAACTGTGTGTATTCTTGTGTGTGACCAGTGCAGATGAACAGCTAAGCCAGCAAGATACTTCAAAGAAAATGCAGATTAATGGAACTCACACTAATTTCTTTCATTATTCCTGGAGAAAAATATGATCAGATTATAATATGTATTTTTATGATTTATCTCTATTTTTTTTTTTTGCTTTTAATTTTATGGCATTTATTATTGCATTGATCATTTAAATTCTGTATTTTCCTGTTCGGCAAAGTAAATACTCTTTGCAGCATGAGTTATATTTTTTGTCATGCAGATTTGCTTATTGTGAGAGCTGATAGACAGCAGGAGTGATTTGTCTCTGTCTTTTGCTCTATCTCACCTCTGTTACATCATGTCCTGTTGCTCATCATGGAAGTTACTCTCAACCTGTTAGTACTTGCACATCTGCATACGCATATTTCCTGTTCTGATGTCATTTCCTGTCCAGTTTACTCCCGACCTTGTGCCCAATGCTTTCTGGAAAAGACTCGTTAACATTTTCTCTTTTTACAGTTTTCATCGTAATGTAATCATACTGTTGCAAATTATGGTCACTTTTTTTGAAGGTTATCGTAGGCTGATAGATAGCCATTTTAAACAATGGGCAAAACATAGCGGATAGCAAATCTGAGTTTTAGGGATGTGCATTGCGGTCTGTTTAGGCACTTTTGGTTGAGGGTAGTCAGTGACTCTTTGGGATTGCGTTTGTCCCTTTTGAGGGTAGTCAGTGACTCTTTGGGATTGCGTTTGTCCCTTTTGAGGGTAGTCAGTGACTCTTTGGGATTGCGGTTGTCCCTTTTGAGGGTAGTCAGTGACTCTTTGGGATTGTGTTTGTCCCTTTTCCTCTTTACCCAGCCCCCAGTTGTTGGCCTTCTGTCACCAGATGGCCCTGTTTGATTCAATGTTTGTTTTCCCACTTGGCATCTCTGAAGCATCTGTCTTTTGTTTGCGTTCCTCACCTCTACTTCTGTTACAACCAGGATCACGACCCTTCCAAAATAAAATCCTGATGTTTTTGTTCCACCCCCCACTCAGTTGGCCCTGCCCAAAGTAATTTTGACACTGTTATTTGTGTCTGACACTTTACTGATGATGGCACACAAAGGTCACCAGGCTGCATCTTCAAGCTGACGTGAAACATTTCTTGTCTGCTTACCAACACAGTGAGTCAGAAGTAACACTTGTACCATTGTGTAGGTTACAGAGAAATTATTTTTAAACAATTTATGAAGTATGATGGAAAATGGTCTAGAAATGAAAGCATGACACATGAAGAGATCTGGAAATAATCCAAAGGGCACATTTTAAAACCCGAAACTGATGCCGTACGTTTCTAGTTAAGGTTTCATTAACTTTTCTGGATCTTCTGCAGTGAAGGAACACTGGCACCCCCTTCTGGTTATCTGATGCAAATACAGGCCACAGAATTATAATCTTGTAGGACAGCTAGATGAACACCGCTTCAGTTCCCAAACCTCTCCTCAGGGGCACCCCAGCCTTTCCACATGTCTGTTAGATTTCACCACCAGGGGGTGTTCCACAAAGCAGGATTTCTCAGTTAGCTGGGTTTAACTTAGCTGGAAGTGATGCTTGTCCAATAGAAATGCTCCTTACCTAAACGGCAGACTTCATCCTGTTTGATGTAAACATCCA